CTCGAACTCGCCAACCTTGTATCGCGTACGTCGGCGATATAGCAGCACTTAAAGGCACAGTTCACGATAATTTTGAGGTACCCGTCTTTATTCGAAAAGTGGAAGTATAGATTGGGAATGATTCATTATATCAGTACTAACCTACTCTGTATTGGCTTAGCGCACCAATGAGTGCAAAGATAAATAAATAAATAAATAGATAAATAAATAAATATGATATAGCGGGAGCTTCAAATTCATCCTGTGGGGAATCTCAGGAGTTATTTTTATCGTGAACTGTGCCTTTAAAAGCATCTAGTAAAAAGCGAGGCGCCTTACTTGCAGCACATTCTGTTGTGGTTATCGTTTTCTCACTCTGAGGACGTCTCGAGTAAGTTGAGGTGTATCAGGAGCTTTCAGTTGTCAGTTGAAAGAACCGTGAATTCATAGGTGAATATTACAGCTAAGAGCATAGGTACGGCGTATACCAAAGCAAATCTGTAAGGATCTCGTCCGATATGTATGAGTTCAGATACAAAGTCTTATATGACTTAGAACTGGTCGAGAAGAAAGTGACTTTGAGAACTATGACGTTCTGCACTAACCTTCTCTGGAAATGACCAGCAGTTATTAATTTCTTAGCGTCCCAAACCATTCTACGTGAGCTGAAGGGCCTTTTCAAAGCTCTGGACACTAAGGCCGTCCCTTCTAATCCTCCAATTCGATCTTTGCAACTGCGCCTCTATCCAAACCAGGTGTTTACTTTGATGAATAATTATCAAATCCGAATATTGGTATGCTAAATATAGCCTTAAAGTAAACTCATTGGGTCTTCATGTCTCCGGGGATATATTAGCGGAGGGCAGCTGCTCTCTGAGAACTCTACCAAGCAAACAAATTATGCATGGGCTCAATCTTGCAGTGCTATTTTAGGAAATACTCTGATAGGTAGCTTTTGGATGAAAGGCTGGAATTCTGAGCAATACTTAGCAGCGCAGCAAGGCTACGAAAAATGGTAATCTCGGGCAAAAATGTTAAATCTCGTCCATAATCAGTCGCGACCCCTTTAGTCACTTTGAATCCTAAGACCACGAATCGTATACCGACTTCTGCAAGTGTGCCGATGGATTCTCCATTTAGTGTTTCTTTCTGTATTTTTTCCGGAAATATTGGTTCGTAAATCCACGAAAATCAGTGCAAGTGAAGTACTGAAACACAGCTTGGCACCAAATATTGGTATGTTCTTATATACTGTACAGATACAATGTGATGATTCCTTCCTCTCGTAATTTTTTTTTGGAGCGCTGGCCGTCTCGTCAGTGTCGGACGAAAATAGGTTTATTGCATCGTCCACCACAAATGTCGCCAACGCGCTTCCAATAGAAAGCTGTGTTCCTGAAAGCATGGCGATTATCTGAGTCTCTTGTCACATAGGTGGTTCAATCGCTTTGCAGAACAGAGGGGATTTCAATGTGACTTATTGGGAACGAAACGCCAATAGAATACCGCTGACTGCGAGGACTATAAGCGAAAGAGTAGAAAATTTCACAAGGTATTGGCTCATTTGGGATCGATTCATCTATCCTTCTACAAGTAGAGCTCAAGATTGTTAGCTGATCTCATGATTTCTTCAAAAATTTTGAGTTGTCGGACTCAGAGGCACAATTCGCGAGATAGGGATGGTTGGAATGGTGAAAAAGCCCATGAAAAACTATGAGCGCCGTCAGAGCGAAAAGCAGCTTGAGTAAGGCACACTAGGGACTTATAAACCGTAATTGACTCTCACTGTCGTTCAGTGTTTATGAAGATGGAAGTGTTTAATGGACCTGTACAGGCCAATATCTTTTGAACGAAGCAGTTTCTGTAGATGCATATGCTTATACTGTAATATACCCAAAAAACTAACATTCGATCTGCAGCCTCTGAAATCCCATTCAAATACCTCTTTTTGTCTAAGCCTCTTTCATCCTCAGAGATTGCTTCAAAAAACCTCCAATTGAAAATTCGTATGAATCTCGTCTTTTCGCTATCGATATACTCTCCTCCATTAGCACTATTGCCCTATCAGCCAGAATGGTAATTTCTTACGAAGAGTGCCTTTGAGCAGTTTCGACTGTGCTACCGTTGGACCGCTTGTCCAACTATGCGGCAACCCTGGCCTTTGCACAATCGTAGTTGAAGTATATTGAAGATATAAGTATCTTACTTTGAGTCGATGTTAGGTATAAGTATGGATATAAGTACTAAATAAGTTTAAAAGTAAGTGAAGAATAAAGGATAAAATCTTTTAGCATTAACCAATCTCGTTTGAAGTATTCTCTTCTCGATCCGACTTCTATTCAGAATCGTAGCGGCGTATTGAATGCGTATGTGGGCTGTACAATGTATTACGGTGGCCAGCTAATGTTCAAGTCAGTGCTTTTATCCCCCGCACGGATCTGTTACCAACTAACAGAATCCGAGGGGATGGAAGGTTTGGTTGACCGAGGTGGTTTTCGGTCTTGGATTCGAACCCGTGATTATATACCCGTGACAGAGACCCTTCAAAGATAATTACGGCCTGAAAATTTGTCTCAGATGTAGTTGACGTAGATTATTTTCCACCTATTCCTCTGTGAGTGGGTGCTACAAGTTCGACTACCAGAACCACTCCACTTATCAGGACCGGTAGTTACAGCTCGGGACGGAGTGCCAATATGGGTGTATTCTCTTTCATCTTCTCATCGGAAGCCGTCCCGTAAGGTTGCCTCTACATTTTTTGGTGGAATACAAGAAGGTGTCCAAGAATTTTTCTTTGGATGGGTGATTGTGAGGACTTCCTTTACATCACATTGTCGTCAGGGCTTCCAGCCTTTGGAACAACTATCAATTGCCAACGTCGTTTATTCCGCTTTGAATACTGCGAGCGTTTTGCTGAGTAGATGTGCTGATTACCAACAAATAAATAAAGGGAGTGCAAAGCTATCCCATCTTCGTGATTGTTGTGATGCAATTCAGCTCGCAACCAATTTTACGAACTCCGTCAGTCAGCCATTGATAGTATTAAAGTGCTATAGCAATCTGGATTACGGGCACTCTCATCCCAACTATTTTAGGCTCGTCTATGGGAAGGCTTTCTTCTTTGGCGCATTCATAGGTTCCCGTGGGAATAAAAAAGAGAAAAATTGGAAAAGTGACGTTGTTGCGTCATCCTGATGATGGGATTTGATTTATTCTACTCTGGTCTTCTGCTCTGGGAGCAGAAGAGGCGCCGTATTTCTTATGTAGGCTGACCAAAGGCTAGTCGAGTTCGGATTGGAAATTTTATGCTTCCACGTACGTCCGGTAGTAATTAAAAGGTTGGAAAGAAGTGCATTTTAAATTGCTGTTTTTAAAATCAGCATAAAAGTAATAAGGAAGTAAAAACTACGTCGATTTTTTTCATTCAACGAGGTCCCGTAAAATGAGACTTCGTACTACGGAGGGGGACAGCTGAGTGTACGTTCGTTAGAATATCTCATAGAAAAAGAAACAGTTTTTGTTTTCATTTGTATTACCTGTCACGACAGCCATTTGCACCTCCATCGTGGATTCGAGCTAACGTTTCACAGTCGGATTTGCCGTAGCATTTCACTCGGAAACGACTGCCCAATATCTGAAACTCTGAGTTCAAAATAAAATTTTACTCTAGCCATTAGCACCTAGGCGTACCCGAATGCATTCTGATGAACATCCGTAATCCTCAGCGCAATTGATCCACGCCACTTCTTCGTCCTCATCCTCTTTTTTGCCAGGTTGATAGCATTGCTGAACAAATACAGACCGAAACTTTCGGTAACTTCTCTCTGAATGCAAGCAGCTTTTTGAAAGTGAAGCAAATAGGTTTTTGAAAAAAAAGTAGTTGCTCCAGGTGGGGTTTTACGCTCAAACTTTTGAAGTACTTTGCCTGTGGGGCAAAAGTTTATGGTTTTTCGGTAACACTGCTTGTTAATAGCTTGTTTTTATTTGTTTTCATTATTTTCTGTCAAAGTATTATCGGTAAGAATGTCCCTAAGAGGTTATGGTCTCATAGTTCAACGGAAAGGAAACATTTAGGAACGTTCAAGAAAGAAATGTGTTGAACTCAAGTCCCGTCTGAGGCCAAATATCTTGCCCAACTGGCCCACAACTGATTGTGAGTAGTCCTCAGGTAGAACTAAATGCCAATCTGGACAGTAGTATTCAAAGCTTACGGGCATTCACAGAAATCGTCAAATACTAAAAAAAAACTCTTGGGAAGCTTATAATTACTGCTGTATTCTATAATTACTATCCTGATACTCAGTTTGTCATAAGCTATTTTCGTAATGACATCATGCCGCAGTAACACCCACCACGTACAGAAAATTGATAAGATAAGCTGAACGAAGAGCAGTCGCCCCCGAATTGGGAGAGTATAGTGTGTTCGCCAAAGCGATGAGACACGAACTTGATGAACTCGCTGATTCGTGGTGATTCATTGGTCTCACGGTATCTATACCAATCTCCCAAAGCACTAAAGGAACAATGAATAAAGCTACTTCACTTAAAAATAAAACCCAAGGGAGGATCGAATAGAACTGGATTGAAAATTTAATTTACATAGCTTGGAAACTGTACTCCACGGGAGTATAGAGCTGTTCCGAGAAAGTGGAAGATATCGAGGAGGAATAGCTGGTTCGTAGGCGGCCGAAATCAGCTATGTTCATAATACTGTTGAGAAT